TGAAATGCCATGGGTTGGCTCTTCGCGCAGTAGTCCGCGCAGTACCCCGTCTGCGCATCCTGTGCCCGTTGCGCTGCGCGAACTATCTCTTGCCGCTGTGCTGCAGACAGGTCAGACCCACATCGCTGGCAATCAAACGGGAGCCGGTACGGGACTTGCGCGTCAACATTTGCTCCACGTAGACTGGCTAGCGTTGCTGGGTGACAGCAATTCAGCCACTCGTTGCCATATGGACCGTGCAATGCTCCAACGCGATTCTTCCGACCTTGCGTGGCCATACCGTGCGCTTCTGCTTGGCATGGGCACAGTACTGCTGCGACCGGCGTGACCCAGGCTTCGCGGGGGAAGTCGCTTTTGCATACCCCGGGGCGATCTGCTTTCTGGCAGCCATGCAAGGGCACACGGTCACCTGTCTCTCCACTGGGAGGGTGATAATGATGTTGCTTTAAGAACTGGAGGGTGCTCACATTCTGTGCCAATACTCCTGTGCCCAGGCTCTGCCTTCCTCTTCTGCCGCTTGTTGCGCGACCCATGCGCGACGCTGCTGGTAGGCGGGGATCTGGATCAGAGCCATCGCGTCTTTGTGTTCAGGCCATGAGGCTTCTGCATCGGCAATGCCCTTGGCTATGGCTTCCGCATCGTGGCCTGCGTACGCGCCATGCATGACGTGGCCACTGTACTCTAAGTACGCTACCCGTAAAGCGGCTAGCCGGTCGCAGCTAAGTTGGAAGATTTTTCTGCCAACGAAGCAACACGACAAGGGAACCCCAAAATACCTTGAGATCTTCGGGGTACGGGTATGATATTGGATCAAGAGGCCAACTCCTGTACTGGTCGCCACAGCTAGCCTGTCCGACGCCACGCAGCCTTGGCATGGCCTGAACTGCCACATACGATGCTAACCGCCGAGGCCACCCTCTTCTTTTCTAGGCTTCCGAAGCGACGGCCCCCCCCTCAAACGCTTCTCGGCGCCTCGCAGGGTGCAACCTTGGCATTGGCATCTCCACCTTTGTGGGCTTTAGCGCAGGCCACAGCTAGCCTGTCCGAGGCCATGCAGCCTTGGCATGGCCTGGGCTGCCACGTACGGTGCTAGCAGCCGAGGCCAGCCTCTTCTTTTCTAGGCTCCCAGGGCGACGGCCCCCCCTCAGACGCTTCTCGGCGCCTCGCAGAGTGCAACCTTATTGGCACTGGCATCTCCACCTTTGGCCTTCAGTTACACATGCTACACTCCTCTTGAAAAGGGGTCGGCGGCACCCGGGCGAAGCCCTTACAATCCGGGCGCCGGCCACGCGCACGTTCCCTTGCCGGAGGCCTTCGGTTGGTAACCGAAGGTTATATACGCTCGCCGCCCCTGCCGCCGACCCTTTTGGTGGACCTCCGCCCGACCCTGTGTCGACCCCGTGTCGACCCCCGCCCGAATCCGGTCGACAGATTTATATGTTGTCTAACAGTTTTTTTTGCGCATGATGTGGAAAACATCGTTTTTTACAGTGTTTCGTGGCCTTCGGCGGAGACGACTTGCGCCTAACAGGGCGCCGGTGGTGTCGGTTTTGCGTGCCGCGCGGACAGGCTTAATCGACATTTCGTGGGTGTTGGGCACAGAAGTTGCCTAACATATCCCTAACATAGGCCCAAGATAGCCAACATATCCCCAACATAGCCTCCAAGATGGCTCAACATAGGGCCAACATAGGCCAACATGGGGCCAACATACGCCAACATAGGCCGAACATAGGCCCAACCTAGGCCAACATAGGCCTAACATAGGCCGACCTAGGCCCAACATAGGCTCAACTTGGGCCCAAGATGTGCCCAACATAGACCACGTGGGCGCAACTTGGCCCAACCTAGGGCCAAGATGCGCACCAGATAGCTTAACTTTGCTCAATATAGGCCCCACCAAGTCTCAGAGAGAGAGAGAGAGACAGAGAGAGAGAGAGAGAGAGCGAGCGAGAGAGAGAGAGGGAGAGAGACAGAGAGACAAAGAGACAGAGAGAGAGAGAGAGCGGGGAACCAGCTGCACATACCCAAACCCAAATAGGCCGGCGCCCGGCTGTCAGGCGTAAGCCTCATAAATTTGCTACTTGTGGAGCTGCCAGTTGAAAAACTGATGTTGGAAGACCTGCTACTCCACCTCTTCTCATAGCTGTTTAGCTTGCAAATGTAGAGATGCACATACATATCCTTGTTTAGTTCGCTGTATATATTCCATGTGTAGAAGTGAACTTGTAGATTTTAGCTGGATGTCTTGCATCTGTAGAACTTACATACGTAGATATCTATTCCGCTCGTGCGAGGAAAATGCTGCTTCTTGATATCTTGCCTGTCGGAGGCGGTGGGGCTGAACGGAAAGTCCTTGCGAAACACGACTCTCTGCAGCATCTTGCGCGTCAGCTCAAACATGAGGGTTCTTTGCGATTCGTTGCTGGTGCGGTGAACCCTCAGCGGGAATCACACGCGCACGATCTGGAACGTGAGGGCGTTTGAGTCTTCATCTCTTTGTTTGGCGGGAGTCTCGCACGAAATGGTCAATTTGTAATTTGAAGCTTGAGCATCTCAAATTTTAAGATGAGGAAGGCTTGCGCGAATGTCCGTCTGTCTTGAAGCTTTCAGATGTTATATAAATTTGATCAAACCTGACACAAAATGCTCACCCAGAACTGGCGACTTTGAAGTACAGAGGTGATGCGGCAAAATTACATAGGTGATGTCACTGGTTTGGCGAGGCCTCGAACCATGGACCGTAAATGCCGCGTGTCGCTGGTGAGCAGGATGATTTGCACTGTAACCATTGTTGCATCTTTTGTGTGGCACATGGTACAAGTATGGCGCCATTACGTGTTGGCGATCCCTTGGTGGAAAGTGCGTTTGTGTGGCTCCGTGCCATTGGGAAGAGTCCCACCATGCTGGCAAGTTCTGGTGTACAGACTGTTTTGCAGAATGAGGCAAAATGCCATCATCCCGATTCAGCGCAGGCGGAGTCTGTAGCTTTTTGGAAGGTCTGAGCTAGCCCCATGCCCATGCCCTACAAAGAGTCTACCAAAGTCCACTTAGTTTTCACTCACTCTTTCATCTACGCTGGCTGCTTCCAAGCTTCGTGACCCTAAAGAAAATCACAAAATGCCATGGCAAGCGGCACACGCGCATGATTTGGCCACAACTGATACATCAAGTCGTCTGTTTGAGACAGGAATAACGCATAATTGCCGCATAATTGTTGATTGGTTCAGCTATTGGAAGCAGCGAAGCCGCCCCTAATCTTCATCTATTCTAGAATCACGAGAGAATCTACGACCAAGAATGTTTGCCAGCAAAGGTGATCCTTCCCAACATCTAACATGACAATGCCGGTCCTGGCTTTTTTTGCTATGGCAGCGGCAACATGTTTCATAGCAACCGTGGTCTACTGTGACCAAAACCCTCTGTCAATAAGCAAAGCCCCCTATTTCACACAAAAAAACATGAAGGACTTTCTGAGAAAACACCTGCTGAACAAACAGTGAAACAACCAGCCAAAACTTTGCGACGCCACAAAACACCTTTATGGAGAATACAGAACTTGATCTAGGCAAGCTGGCTGGGTGTTCCCCCAGCAGCGGCAGAAGCTGTTGCCGGGGGGGCAGGTGCTTCCTGCGAGACACACATCTTCACTCGGCTCAGCTTTGCTTTGAGTTTTGCATTGCGAATCATTGCGCCGTTACACTGCAATGCTCTGACCCCTAAGGAGGGCGTTTTGGCAGCAGCTCGAGGTTCTCCAGTGGAAAACATGACCTGCACCCACAGAAACACGGACCAATTATTGTTTTCGCATCTCAATCGTGCAGGGGTGGCCTAAGCTTTCAAGTACTAAGCTATAGCCTTTCTCTTTGCTCGCCTGGACTGTGGCGACTGCCTTGGGGGTCAAACCAACATGTCCAAGGAAGGCATCGACATCCTGGCCGATTTGACCCAGCATCAAATTCAACATTGAAGAAGGAGAACGTATCTGTCTTCTTGCTTCTGACACCACAATGAAGCATCGATCCATTCAACCTTCAGCTGCAAGAGCGCCTTCAATTCCTTTCCCATGAAAAACAGGCGAGGTCGCAGCCCTTCCCCTGAAGAAATGCAATCGTAAGCCAAAACAAATCATGCCATGCTCGACCTCCTGCGTTGAAAGGAAAGGCAGCACCATGCCACGGCCAAAAGGCAAAAAAAACATTGCAAGCCCTTTTCGTCATGTCCTCGCCTGGTGCAAAAGCACCCAAGGCAAGAGCCTCCAAATCCAAGACGCGGCTGCAAGTGCTCAGCTCCTCAAGATCGGAGTGGACTAAAAAGAAGAAACGACTTGCAGCGACTTGCAGTTTTGCAAGTTCGAACAGGATTTCCTTGAGGATGTAGGCACTGGTGTGTCCTTGCACCGTGCTTTGGATGCGGACCTCACAACTGCACCAAACAAACAGGTCTTGGATCTGCAGGCTTGAAAGCTAGGCGCTGGCTTAGAACAGTGTAGCGAGGCAGTACTCTTCCCACAAAGAGTGCTTTCAAGCATGTGATATCTATGCTGGCAAACTTTATATTTCTCTGTCTCTGCTTGCGTCGTTTTGTTGCACACAAAGGCTTGACCGAAAGACTTTGCCCGACCATTCAGTGTCCCGACACTCACAGGCTGAGCTTCTGGAACAGGCACTTCTGCGAAATGGCAGGGCCAAACAAAGTTTGAAAAGTCTCAAAGAAGCACATTGAACGGTTCGAGTTTCAGCCGTTCGACCCTGTACATGCCAAAAGGACGCTCGACTGAATTACCAAGTTCGACCGGTTCAACGGCCCCTGGAATGAATTTTATAGGAGTGGAGCCTCCAGATGTGGCTTACGGGCACAGCCAGCGTCTAGGCATTACTAACATCTACTGTACTGCACTTTCGCATTGTCTTCATGCAATAGGTTACTGTCTGTGTCCAATCCCTGGAAGCTTGCTGACCTGCATCTCTCAGTGCTATCGGTGTACACTTCAAACTGTCTACATCGGACTTTCCGCCTTTCTTTGGCGGCTCCTTCTCTGACTGTGCGACATCCTTGCAAAAGTGGCTGACTGCTATGCCCTCACTCCCGTTCTGCAAGGCTAGGGTCAGAATCAGAAGATCTGCCGAGAGGAATTTGGAATGCTGTGCCAGTCCTTTTGTGCTGTAGGAGCCCCGCAAAACATCACCTGCAACTGCACATTTTCTGAAAGTATATATAAAAAGACTTGTCAGCACCCTTTTCAAGTTCGCTCTGCAGCAAGTTTGTCAAAATAACAATAAACAAGTGAAGAAGAAAGTGCTAAAAAAGACCGGGTTGGTCCCCCCCCTTTCTTTGGTCCACTACACAAAGAAAGGGACGTTCCCGGGTAACCTTCTCCCCCCCAACCAGGTGGGCCAAACCCCGAACCCTGGCCAGGTCCTAGGGAGTTAAAACGGATGACCTCTCTTTTGCTCCTCACGAGCTCTTTGCTGGTCTTTTAAGGGGTTTTGAACACCTCTTTCCACGTCCCCCAAGACGCCATGAATCGGCAGTCGACCTGCTGCTTTGCAGCGGCTCAAGTGTTGAAAATGATTGGGGTGTGGAGTTTCGAAAAAACGTGCGATAAGGTGCCAAATGCTAAGCAGAAGGTCCTATTTGCATTTCTGTCAGGACAGCCCGGGATTCATTCAGGTATACTAGCGGTTTTTTGCGCTTGCCAACGCCCTAGAAGCATCACCCGATCTAGGTTACCATGTTGGCAAAACCACCAGGTGGCCCCTCCTCTACGGAGGGAGTAGGGTCTGAGGTCCAAGACGTCTAGGTGCAAGACTTGTATGCAGGATTTAAACAGTTTCCGCCATCGGGCGGCCGGTGGGCAGAGATGCTGGTGAGTATTGGCAAGGGTATACCAATGTTTCACGGACCCTCGAAATGTGTTTTCCGATTTGGAAATAGCGGACTGCTCCATAGTGAAGAAGCCTTGTTCCTCAAGAGACATGGAAAAGGATGGCTCCGCGTTGAGATCGTGCCCGGAAGCACACCATTTTTACTATCGAATGCAGTTGTAGAGGGATTGCGGGGGATTGTTGATGTTCATGGTGGTGTGTTGAGTTTCCATGGAAGTAGGGATGTAGTGAGGCTACGACAGGTTCGAAAGAAGTTGTGTTGTTTGAAGATCATGGAATTGTTGAAGGTGAGGTTCGAAGAAGGTATGAGTGAAACATGTCTCAACGTCCATGCACACAGAGAAACGAGCGCCAACCAAAACACAGCACAACATGATGAAGAGACTCAACCAGCAAAACAGAACCATACCAGGAGCCACCCCTCCCAGATGGACATGCATGCAGAATTTGAACACCGCCCAGAGCACTTGAAAAGAGATCGAAGAGTACCGGAACAGACCACAGACTCAATTCCCAGACAGACCAGAGAGAAAACGAGACCTTCCGATTTTGCAGCCAGTTTGACGTGTCAAGCCAATCTCGACATCGACGACTCCCTGACCTACCATGGCCCTTCAGAAGACAGTGCCCCAGTATCAACTCGAGGAACTCTCGGGAGAGGAAGATGTGACCCTGAGTCGAGAGACTCACGAGCCCATGAACTACACCTATGTGGTTCCTCCCGGAGTGAGCAATCTTCAGGAGTGGGGCAAGCTGACCTTCCAGACCGGAAAGTACAAGGGACACCTCTTCTCCGAGATCTTCGAGAAGGAGACGTGGTATGTGCAGATGATCCTGAGCAACACTCGGCTGAAGTCAGTCGACGTGCTGAGTTTCCAGAATTTCTGCAAAGCACGAAAGAAGAAGCTGGCACAGAACATGATTCAAGGCCCAATTCTCCCGAAGACCCATGCTCGCCGCCATGCTGCAATGAGCTCGGGTCCCATTCCGGACCACCAGCATCAGGGCCAAGCCAAGGGCTCGGAATCCGAGTGGAGTCACATCGAAGTGGAGCCAGCGCTCAACCCGAAGGAGAAGCAGAAGCGTGGCTATGCTCAGACCAAGAGTTCCCAACCCATGGCAGTGGAAGGGGACGAACAGAAGATCAACGAGCTGCAGACGCAGATCGCCATTCTCCAGAGGGAGCTCGCCAAGCAGCAGCCGAGCACAGACCAACCAAACACGCCCTGAGACGAGATCGCCGGGGCGTGACCAATTCGAGATCACCGAAGTGGAACACCGATGAGGTGCATAAGAAATGTCAGGAACTCATTTATAAGATTGAGGGCGGGTTGTCCAATTTACCCAAGAAATGTGTTTCTGTTGATGTGACCAAACCTCGCACCGGTGTTACTGATCCTGACCATGATCGGCCGATCGACTGCCTTGAGGTGTATTGTTTTAGAAATTCTATGTTGACCCGACAACTTAAGCGTTCAGGAATGAAGGCATTGAGGTTCACCAAAGAGGATGGAGATTTGACTACACCCGAGGGAGTTGACAAATTGTGGACTTGGATCAAATTGTATGAACCCACCCATATATGGGCAGCTCCTGATTGCAAATATTGGGGAGGGTTTTCCAGGTTGAATATGACCCGAAGTAGTGAATCTGAACGAAAGATCATGTTCATGAGAGAAAAAGAGACATGCCATTTGCACTTGTGTAATGAAATGTACTGGCATCAGATGTGTTTGGGACGACATTTTCACCTTGAACAACCGAGTGGTTCAGACTTGATTAAACAGCCCGCTGTGTACGATATTGCAACAGGAACGATGCCTGCATCTTTCGATCAATGCCAGGTGGGGGGCTTGCGATTGCCACAGGATGATCGTTTCCTCCGGAAGAGAACCATTGCGCACACCTCCTCCCGGATTGTTCATTCCAGTTTACATCGCAGATGGTGTCTACATGATCATGAACATCGACGAATTGAAGGACAATATGAACACAAAGGAGTCCGACAAGCAGTTTCAGCATTTGCAGCTCACTATACACAAACATTTGCCAAAACTATAGCACAAGCACTCAGGCAGGTTAGGAGGAGAAATGAGGATCCCCTAGCGGTCATGGAGTTACTAGCTGGTTTTGAAGCTTCCGAGAGTGGGCAAAAGAGATCTCGGGAATCCCGTGAAATCGCTTTGGATTCTCTCCGGCTGAAACGTCGTAGATGCGAGTATAAACAACCTCGACCCGAAGCATTTGAACCAGCTGTGGAACTGCCTTCATGGGGAGAGATCATGCAAGATATTTCCAAGGTGACACCACGTGTTGGAGTTCATAACATCAGACAGGGGCAATTGGTGGAAAAGGTCCAACCTCTGCTCCCTGAGATGCAGATACAGCTGATGGTGGCTTGTCGAGGTACAGATCGTTTTCGAATCCCTGACAAGAGTGAAGACATGGGAAGTCTGACCTTGAGAAAGACGGTGTATGTTCATCGTGTTAGTGGGGAAGTGATTGATGTTGGGGTTTCGGAAGAGTGGCAGAGACTGCCCAGACTCCGACGGATGGGCAAGTGTGGACCCGCAAGATTGTCACTGACCATTTTTGGAACTCCCCAGTCTTTGGACAGACTGGACAACCATGAAAGTTCCTTGCGCAACGGGGAGGAAAGGGAACTCCCTCCAAAAGATTTACAACACTCCCTCGATGTTGCATGGGCTCCCCGACCAATAGCTGTCTCCGGTCCCCGGTATCTCCAACTGAACCCCGAAGAAAGGGAGGATATGAATCTTGGTCATCCTAGTCCAGAATTGTTTCAAAAGTTCCTGAGAGAGAGGGGCGCATCGGAGGCTGTTTTGGAAGGGGTGAAAGATTTCCAATGTCCCTCATGTGCAGAAAATCAAGGGGCACCGTTGTTGGCAAGACCCGGGAGCATCCACCGAGATTTGGACTTTAATGACGAGGTTGGTGGAGATGGTGCATGGTGGAAAAATGGTAGGGGAAAGAGCTTTCATTTCATGCACTTCATTGATGAGGGTACACTTTTTCATGTTGGGGCTCCTAGTGGACGGACCACCCAAGAACAAATTCGAGTATTTGAAGATGTTTGGCTTCAATGGCCGGACCCTGCAGACTTCTATATCTTGATCCTGCCGGCGAGTACGTGAATGATGAATGGAGAAATTTCCTCCAAAAGGAAAATATCAGAGTCTCATTGAGTGCAGGAGAAAGCCATTGGCAGCTTGGTCGATGTGAAAGACATGGTCAAATAGTGCAGAACATGTTGGATAGGATGGACAGAGAGAACCCTATCGATTCACAGGAAGAGTTTCGTTTGTGTCTTCGCCAAGTTTTTGCTGCCAAAAATGCTTTGAGCAGGGTGGGAGGTTTCACTCCTGAGCAGGCCTTATTGGGAAAATCCAGACACCTTCCTGGCTCCTTAACCGGAGATGAGGACGTCAGCAGTCACAGTCTGGCTGTGAGCGATGACGCTGAAGGTCAATGGTTTTTGAAAACACTGGCACGGCGAGAACAGGCACGGCGCAGTTTCATCGCAGCGGACAACGACAATAGTTTCAGAAGGGCACTGCTGCGAAGAACCCGACCTAGCCGATCACAATACCAAAAAGGGGACTGGGTGTTGTACTGGCGACGAAAGGGGGCTGGTAGGAAGGAGAGGGGGCGTTGGTATGGACCCTCCCAAGTAGTAGTTGTTGAAGGAGAAAGAGTGATCTGGCTGAGTCATTGCGGCAGATTAATTCGTGCTAGTCCAGAACATATCAGGCCCGCTTCTTTGAGGGAATACCACCTTCTTCCCAGGGGTGAGGATGGTAGAGTGAGGGATGAAGTGTTGAGGGAAGGAGTAGGTCCTCGTGACTATGTGGTTTTGGATGATATTCCCGAAGAAGGTCCCGAAGAAGGAGTCCTGAGTTCTGCACCGTCCATGGCTGAAGAACCTCAACCGGAACGTGAGATTTCTCCCCCAAATTCCAGTGAGGCAAGTGGAGATTTGGGAAGTTACACACCCACTGAAAACGACATGGAGGTAGATGGGGTAGAAGTCCCAATTCCGGATGAGAATGATGATGATGAACTGTGCGTTTTTGGGGATGATGTCTTAGCCACTTTTGATCCTCCCATGTATGAGATTTCCTTTAGGGATGGCCCAGTTTTTCAAGGGGACAGATGTGAGGAGATCCACATTGTTTGGGACACCTTTGGAGTGACGAATGCAAAGAAGGAGAGAGTTGAACTCAGATGGGAAGATCTAAGTGAAAAAGACAAAGTCCTTTTTCGTGCGGCAAAAGACAAG